ACAAATTGGAAATTTCTTAGGAAACGTCCACTTGGAACACCAAGAATATTATAAAATATGATATATATTAGGAAGAGATGGGAATAAGAAGATGGCAGTCTGGTAGAAGTTTGCCGACGTTCAGAGGTCCTTGCTGCCCGCATAAGTAGGGTGATCGCCCTGGGACACCACCGTCGACTGTGATGAACACTCAGAGCACAGTGAAATAGTAGAACTCTTACTGTTGTACTGTGCAGTCGTCCCGTGGCCTTAAGACAAAAGCAAGAAAGAGTAAGTAAAATGAACTTCAAACTGCACGAATACTGTGATATGCATCTGATCCTTGGTACTCCGTTTAATCCTCCAAGATGAAGACTTGTATCCACACTACTAATAACAGGCTCAAGGTCTTTTGCTTCATGATAAAGCATCATCGTCTCCAATACTGCAAGTGGTTTTTATGGGAACAAGAACGTGGTCCGGGCTTTTTTTAAGCAAATCTAATGGTCGGACAAGAAGTAGTCACAGATGAAGGTGTATTGAACAGACAAAACGGCCACTTGTGGGCGCATCATAATAGCCCGTGTTACACGCAAGTGGGCCATCAAGTTCGCTGGAGCATTATTGTGTGGGCCGATATCAATGGCAAAAGTTTCTGGGCCACACCTACTACCCGACCGCCTCAATGGCCCTGAGTATTGTATGTTCCTTCAGAAAGTGTTATCGGTGCTGCTTGAAGATGTACGACTGGCGATTTGACGTGACATGTGGCTTTATCACACTGGGGCGCACTTCAAAACAATTTCTTGATAAGTGTCCAGGACGTAGCAGCTCTGTATCACAGCACTGGTTGCCGGTCCTGAACCTTCCAGACTTCTTCCTTTACAAGGATCCGACGACTAACATGGAAGACTTGACAGCAAAGTTTAGTGCTGTAGTGGCAGCCACTGATGCAGACATTTTAAGACGTGTGCAAGCTAGTACTCCACGACGTGAGGTAGCATGTCGGCGAATGCATGGCTGACACTTTCTCCTGTGTCGGCAAGCGTTGTACGCTTCTCAGGAGCCGTTTTGTCTGATATAACGGTAACTGTGCATTAGTCTTATGTACATAGTTCTTTGTATTAACTCACTTGTTCATTAGTGTCACCTCCAGTTTTTCGTAGTTATTCAACCCACCGTGAATCTTGTGATCGGTGCCACTGCCCCATTTGACGATTTTTACCTTGATATTTTTGGAACGATTCCTTCTAGATAATTCTTCCTTTTACATTTTCGTTTTGTTTTGATGTTTCCAACCAATTCCCGTTGTTATTACGCGCCTTTTTTTTCCAGACCCTGTATTTGCGTTGGCAATGCTTGTGTGCGCTGAAGCACAAAAAGTAATATCGTGAGTGCAGACGCCATTACTATAGGGTGATGTTTCTTTATCTGTTTTATCCCCTCTGCGAACATTTTCTAGTTGTCACCGCTTGAAAACAACGACGTAATGCAGCTATCTGTTACAGGCTTATGGAAGCAACACACCATCGCTTTTACGTTCGTCTCCATTCACTAGGAAAATCTAAAACATTTTATAATGAAAGACCAAAGATAAATTACATGACATCACATTTCTTGTCACACCTACTGTGATGTCGTTTCTTCGTGTCAAATGCTTCGGAAAAGTGTTTGGAATAAGATTTAATCTTGTGTCAAGTAAGAACTTTAAGGATTCTAATTAACAGAAGTTCCTCTATTAGGACGTTTAAATTAAAGAGGATGAGATTGGCGGGATATGTAGCACGCAAGGGACAGATAACAAATACGTAAAATATTTTTGGGAAAGAACTGGAATATAAGACCCCTTGGAAATTCAACGCGTAGATAGGATAATATTAAAGAAAAAGTAATATATGTGACCTGGGTTACATTTGGCAGGGAGCAATAGCAGACTGTTTTGCAAAACATATTAATGTTAATAACAACAGTAAAATCCGTAAACAAGAAAATTTGGATTAAACGGACTTATGTTATCTAAGGAACATTTCTCTTATAAAGTTCAGAAAAACTCTTGTTTCGATTTTCTTAATTATTGCCTTGCGTGAATACACAATTTATGCCAGCTGACACCGAGCAGATTTCCGGAGGGTTCTAAAGCGCAGATATCGCCAACGAATGCCCGCGGTCATTAAGATACCTACAGAAGTGTTTTCGAGTGTCAGCGAAAACGTTTACGCTAGCAGCTAGGTAGTTACTTGCACCTTACGGTTTCTTATAAAAGATAAATAGTTAAAACTAAAAGTAGAAGGTTTGCGTTAATACATTAACGGCTCCTCAATCGCAAAGAGTAATGTTTTAAACGCATGCCGGGTTTTTTAAACCAAGTGGTACCCGTTTCAAATTGAATTATCCTCCTAGTTGCCCTCACCCAAAAACTGGACGGCTACCCCTGGTATGAAGTCATCCTCTTCAACCCCTCCCCCCCAAATTCTTTCAGAGAACAGAAATTCTGCAGAGCGTAGTCAGCATCGGAATTTAATCAGTGGACATCTGGAATACTGATTCCTCGTTTAGTGTACTGCTGCAGAGGAATCGTGCCGACATGAAGTCCGAAGCATCGAAATTATCCCATAAGGAGCAACGGACACGTGCGAAGAGGGGTTCATGACCTCACGAGACCAATTAAAACTTATGCGACAAAATCAATTTTCACTCACATCCACAGAACAACCTTCCATTTTTTATTGATGACAAAAATGACCACAAGTTCCAAAGTTCCAATACATGACATAAATAAACCATTACGTTCACAGATTATTAGTGTGCCACGTGTGTCTTTTATATAGCAAGGTCAAATAATGCTGGGTCATAAACCAAAAAGAAGTTACTACAGAGTGAAATCTGTGTATGTAACAGAACACGGTTTATGTCAGAGTGACTGTATCTGTGTTGTGCTCTCAGTAATAACGCTACAAGTGCTGGTATCTATCGTTAGATATGTTTGGCACAAAGTGTTTTTAAAATGTAAACAGTGTTGTTTGTATGTGTAATTTTTGTATTTTAAATGTCGTTAGATAGTTCATCGAAGTACTAATTTGCGTAACAAAGACATTGAAGTAACATTATTGTTAATTTTGTCAATTGTGTAATTTGAAAGTGATGGGAAATAATGCGGGAGAAAGGACAGAATGACGAAAGGATACATGAAAAAAAGAGATGGGGTAAGGGATGAAGATATAAAAATTAATTCTCCTCTGAGTTCTAAGGAAACTTTTCCACCACTATAAGAAGAAATTTTATATTAATCTGCCTGTGTGGCACGTACTACTGTTTCTTCTAAAAATTAAAATAGCTGGGAATTACAAAGGTTAGTTTTACTTTTAATTTTAAAAAAACATTCCTGAGGATCCCAACAAGCCACATATTGTCGTAAATAACATCGCCTGGTCTACAGACCAAGTTGGTCATGTTACAAAAACCTATGTTAATAAATGGCCTGAATTAATGCCTTAATTCTTACCTCTCCCACAGATGACAGAGAATTCAATATCACACTTTCACTCCTAATCAATAATTCATTGTGTTCTGTAACTTGCTTTATATCAGAAGATTTATACATGGAGATTAGTACCCATACTAATACGCATTTTAAACGAACACTGTGCCATACGGCAACAATATATCCGACGTCAGGTTGGTAATTAATAACTCAGAAAAGCTATAAATGTGACATCTCATACAATGATAGATGACACGTAATGACATCCAATTAAGTTACGGTTTAAAATTAATCCTGTAATAAAGGTCACCACTGAACAAACGCGGTTATTTCATGGGAGATTTTGTCCACAAAATTAATACGTTCGCACGTATGTCCACAAACAGATATTTACGTATTTAATCCTCGTTACGTCATACGGCCAGCCGGTGGTGCTCCCACTGATTCTGTCGGAGGAAATAACGAGCTTTCACCACTCAGTTATTATCATACCAACATTAAAGAATAACAGTGCCGGCTAAAGCAAACAGCGCGTTCATCTATTCATGCACTTAATACCCCAAACACCTACTAGCCCATTTATCCGCGCATCAGTTCACTCCCCCACCCACAAGCCCAACCCCTCACATCCCACTGCCCGTCAACCTTCCGGCCATTCAATATCCCAGGGCGATCAGATATTACGGAATACAATGTTCGCTAATGTAAACAAAACGCCTCCAGTAGATCATTCAAGAGCACGTCTTCACCTGCTGGAATTTACTTCCTGACTAAAGACACAGAATTTTATTTTATAACGACTGTCTTCTGGGATGCTGCACCGTGTAGTCAGGTAGATGCTGAACGACCTTTCAGTGACGCTTACTGCCTCTGCCATGAGCGTGACTGTTGAGGCATAAGCTCTTTCGAAACGTCGGTCAATATCTAGCACGATACGGTTGAATAGCAGGCCTCCCGCTTCGTGTTCGGAGGCCAGCAATCCAGGTTGAAGTCCGTAATCATCCAATCTTCCAAATTAATTCGTAGGCTAATACTCCCATTCAACACCATATAATCTATGTTACGTTAGAATTTTAACACGTTTTGGTTTCGAGACAAACTACAAGCTTCCAGTCTACTAACAGCAGAATAGAATTGTCACTACGAACGGCTTTTATAATTGGAAGCAAACACCTGTCCGTGAAAGAAGGGAACAACGCGACAGAAAATTGTTTAATGGGGACCACCATGGCTTTTGAAGGTTTTTACTCTTCACCTAAAGACATGTAGAGCGAATGGGAAAGTATTAATCTGAATAATATTTTTGTCGCAAAGAGAACGCCTGGGAAACCTAGTTGCAAGTAGGAGGAATTCTAAATGGGTCCAAGAGAACGAAGCTGTGAGGTTTCATCTGGCTTAGGACATAATCTACTAACCAGCTTTTATAGCAAGGTAATGAATCTTCTGATTCCATAAAAGCAGGGAAATTCTTCACGAGCTGAATGACTGTCAGCATTTTTAAGGAGGAGCACTTAAAGTATTAATCATCTTTTTTTCACAGGAAGCTTTAATCAAAAGACTGGGGCCGAATGCACATCCGTTCACGATGGAAGTGACGCCCCTGGCACCGCCCAGCGTCCAGCTGGTTCCAGCCAAGGAGTACAGCGGTGCCCCAATCGGGACCAGCTACGACGTTCGAGCCTACGCTGGTATGTTACAGCGTTCACTCAAATTTACCCAAAAGAAGTCTTAACCGTGCAATTCGTTCATTCATTTATACTAGTGATATTCATTACACCATCGACAAGTCTTTTGAGTATGTTTCTCTCCTTGCAGACAACCACTTGACATGCAAGCAGATAAACCTACCTTTCCCTGTAAATCAATCAACATCACAACCCTACTCACTTTAACCCTGTAGATACAGGTGGCATATTCATCCGAAACATTGGTATTTTCCTATACGACTACACAAGCAACATCCCAGAGACATAATCCAAAGTATCTGTGGTGTTTCTCAAACTATACCTACTACAAGAGTAAAAGTACATCAGATGCACAATCGGAACAGACTGTTTTTTTTAAAGAAAAGCACAGGAAGGAGGGAAAGTAAATCATTAAAGAAATAGAAAACCAAAGAAATGACAAAGCGGCGGTAACAACGGAAGGACATGAAAGAACAGCGAGATAATGAATGAAAGAAAAGAGACAAAACAAAGTGAAAGAAACAGAGAACTAGAGAAAGTGATTAACGAAGTACAGTATGGGAATCACGCTTCAATTAATTATTCACTTGTGCACATTAGACGTGGCGATCTATCGCGTCATAGGCAGATGGATCCCGAAAGGATACCACTGTAATCCCGAAATGTTATACAATTTTCAGGGCACGTTATTTCAGGAACTTTATAAGCTAAGCTCACTCAGCAAAGTGCCGTGCAATGGACAGGACAGCAGACAGCTAGCTGTTCTCCACATCCACACATCCCGATGAATTACGCCAAGCTAAGTTATTGGTCTAACTTCAGGCTTTATAGACAGCAACACAAACAAGATGTGGGGAGGTACAAGGATCCCACTGGAGTACACGCAAATTCTAAATAAATTATTTACTAATTACTTCCCTTTGCTATCCTCAAATTCAAATCACATTATCTCTTACTTTTTGTCTTGCCAATCTTGTATTTACCTGAACTGGAAGAAATAAGCGCTAAAATATCCACGAAATTAAGTCTAATGTTGGTATAGCTAATTAGAAATAAAGAACCATTGTTCTGTATGTATTGATATGTACACATCGCATCAGCATATCTCAATTGCCACATTTGTACAACTCAACGAGGCCACGCACACGTTTGTAGGACGAGATTTTCTTATATTACAGCCTTCACTCTTCATCTTTCTAGCATGTATTAAAAATAAATCGCGGTTAACATCTACTACTTCTTACGAGACCTGGGTTAGACATCATTTAAACCGTGGTAGGAATACGCAAGGCTTGTTCATGCGCAGCTGATGTAAATCAAAGCGTCAACATCTTCCCCGTGCACATGAACTAACTCGAAACGGATACTACGATTTCAATTAAATTCATTGGAGAATTTTACGAAAAACTGTTAAACCAATTCAGTTCTAATTTAGACTGAACATTTTTAACGATCACTTAACCTAAGAGCGTAAACATTTATTTGAGTTTATCTCAAATATTTGCGAAAAAGTTTAATACACTGATATTTAGCTCATCTGGAAAAAAAACAAAATATATGTTTCTTTATGAATTTTTGATTATATCGACATACATTCGCTGTAGAATGTCGAAAATGATGTTCAAAGATGGCGTAATGGGCTATTTCGCTTAATTTTCGTCCTTCATTCTGATACATTTCATTTACTCCCGCTATCATTAAAACAGTCAGCGGTCACTGATTGTCTGCTGTAGCTAGAATTCTTAGCCTGGATACACAGAAGCATCTGACGATCCCTCCAATCGCCGCTCTGTGTGCGGTACCCGCCTCGAAATAGCCTTGGCCTGCAGTTTGCCAGGCGAGTTGCCAATTGATTTTTTTTTCGAGCACTGACTATGTTTCCGCCGCTAAACATACTTATACGTCGGCCTACTCTGTACGAAGCTAGCGATCGTTCGCTCCGACATCTGACTTCAAAAGAAGGGATGACAACGGCAATATACTCGTATTCTTCCGTGTGAGCTGCGTCTTGCTACGTTACACGCTTGCAGGGCCGGGGATCTATAAATCGCGTTGGTTAGTACGGCGAGAGGCAGCCTTCCCTTACACCCTATATAAAATCTGTTATCAGAACCTTTAGATTCATTGTCGTGCTCACAAAATCCCGTCTAAACCAGATCCATCTTTAAAAAGCAATATGAAAGACGTCCATTTGATAGTATCCCCTCACCTACGAAAGGTATTTTGGTTTTTCAAAAGGTTTTACCAACAAATTTTGTACGTATTTCTTGTGTCCACATCACAGCTACTTTTTTCTGCCCTAGCAAATGGAATTGCTTGATATACTTCGTCCTTATTTAGGGCTATTTC